TCTATACCTATATCCATATCATCTATATCTATATCTATATCTATATCTATATCTATATATCTATCTATATCAGTGGTTCAGGGGTTCTCTAAGGCTGCGACCCCTGAATACAGCTCCTCATGCTGGGGGGACCCCCGACCATAACATTATTCTCGTGGCTACGTCATCACTGTCAGTGAACGTCATAGCGACTGGTCGACCGGTCGACTGTCTGCCCCCTGGTGGTCAGTGCACGTTATAGCTCCCCCTGGTGGTCAGTGCACGTCATAGCGACTGGTCGACCAGTTGACTGTCTGCCCCCTCGTGGTCAGTGCACGTCATAGCGACTGATTAATCTGTCGACTGTCTGCCCCTGGTGGTCAGTGCACATCATAGCGACGGATTAATCTGTCGACTGTCTGCCCTCTGGTGGTCAGTGCCCGTCATAGCAACTGATTAATCTGCCGACTGCCCTCTGGTGGTCAGTGCACATCATAGCAACTGATTAATCTGTCAACGGTCTGCCCCCTGGTGGTCAGTGCATGTCATAGCTATTGGTCGACCGGTCGACGGTCTGCCCCCTGGTGGTCAGTGCACGTCATAGCGAGCGGTTGAGGGGCCTTAGCATATCATTTGCATATTATGCTTTGATTGGTTGACCGGCCGACCGGCCAACCAGACACTTAGCCTATTAGACTTTTATTCTACAGGATGTGCATGAGTCGGTGTCAAGACCCTTACCTATGATCACATGCATGCCCAGGAGCGCCAGGCGCTTCAACCAGACACTTAGCCTATTAGGCTTTTATTCTACAGGATGTGCATGTCAAGACCCTTACCTATGATCACATGCATGCCCAGGAGCGCCAGGCGCTTGGAGGTCGCCAAGCCGATTCCCTCCGTGCCTCCCGTCACTATGGCAACGCGGCCGGGTTGCCGGGGGAAGACTGTGAAAGTGGAAGAAAGAAGAAAAATGAAATACGAGTGAGGTTGAAGGGTTGAGGACACGCCTGGGTCAGGATTGAGCCCCCCAGTGGGTATAGGATGCCAACGGCGGCCACACTCCGTTATCTGGGGTCCTGATTGGACTCCCTTTCCAAAGCCACGGAATCGCAAACATCAAGAATCTTCGGTGCCCGGCTGGTGTCGCTCAGTGGTGAGCGTCCATCCACCTATGAACCCGGAGGTCCCGGGTTCGATTCCCGGTCGAGGGCACAGGCCCGGGTTAGCAGGCTCCATCCCCAACCAGTAGGGGGCGTCCAGGAGACAGCCGGTCCGTGATTCTCTCTCATCAATATTTCTACCTCTGTCTCCCTTCCTCTCTGAAATCAATAAAAAAATATATATGTTTTTATTTCAGAGAGGAAGGGAGAGATAGACACGTCCATGATGAGAGAGAATCATGCATCGGCTGCCTCCTGCACGCCCCCTACTGGGAATCGAGCCTGCAACCTGGGCCTGTGCCCTTGACCAGGAATCGAACCCGGGACCTCCTGGTTCATAGCTCGACGCTCAACCACTGAGCCCGGCCGGTCTAGCTGGAGAGAAACATCCATGATGGGAGAGAATCATGGACCGGCCGCCTCCTGCACGCCCCCTACTGGGAATCGAGCCTGCAACCCGGGCCTGTGCCCTTGACCGGGAATCGAACCCGGGACCTCCTGGTTCATAGGTCGACGCTCAACCACTGAGCCACGCCGGTCTAGCTCAAAGGATATTTTTAAAAAAATCCATCTGTAAAACTTTAGACAATAAAAACAAAATTATATAAAGAAATCCATGCACCCTTATTTATCATAGAAAGATCTTATCCTCTTACAGGGACTTAATAGGGGCGTTATTCCGAAGAAAGGCAGCAAACATTGTTCCAGCAATAACGTGGATGAACCTGAAGGTAATTGCACCAAGTGGAAAAATACAAAATAAAAATAAAAATCAAATTCGAAAGGGTTGCTTTGAGTAGGTCTCCATTTATAGGATATCGTGGGGTGCCTTTTTTTGTATGTTTTTATGTTTTTTTCATTTTATAGGACAATAGAGGCCCAGTGCATGAATTCGTGCACGGGTGATCCTCGGCCGGGCAGCAAGCTAACCTACTAGTTGGAGCGTCTGCCCCCTGGTGGTCAGTGCACGTCATAGCGACTCGTCAAACGGTTGACTGCCCCCTGGAGGTCAGTGAATGTCATAAGGACTCGTCGAACGGTCGACTGACCCCTGGTGGTCAGTGAATGTCATAGTGACTCATCGACCAGTCGACTGTCTGCCCCCTGGTGGTCAGTGCACGTCATAGGGACTCGTCAAACGGTCGACTGCCCCCTGGTGGTCAGTGAATGTCATAGTGACTCATCGACCAGTCGACTGTCTGCCCCCTGGTGGTCAGTGCACGTCATAGCGAGCGGTAGAACTCCCAGTCTCCTGGTCGAACTCCTGTGGGGACACTTTGCATATTAGCCTTTTATGTGTATATGGGCAATAAGATTGATGAATTTTTTTATCCTACAGAGAATACATATTCTTTAAAAATATGTCTGGATTAT